TTTCTTGTTATTTGGAGCACTAGGAGTGCTTTGGGGCATTGTATTGAACACAGTGTAAAATAGGCAACCTAAATATTATCCTGCTTTAGAGCGAAACTGGCCAATCTGGTTGCCATTAGCCACATGTAGCAATTTAAATTCAAGGTAAAGAACATTAAATAAAGTTTTAAAAATCAGTTCCTCGTCTCAGTAGCCACTTTGCAGCAACCACATAGGATCACGGGCTACCATGTTAGCACAAACATGGGGCATTTCCCTAGTGGCCCAGCGAGTGCTCAGTCTATTGACAAGAAGGGTCTAGAATGAGGATGACGTCATTGCTGTCTGCACCCAGACCAGGACTCTGCCCAACTGCTCATGTGACCCAGGGCAGGTTCCTTTCCCTCTCCAAGCCTCAGCCTCTGCATGAATAAGACGAATATAATATTCATCCTCCCCTCTGTTTTCTGGGGAAGATTCAGTGCAATAGTATTGATTAAGGGCTCGCCTGGAACATAAGTAAACAAACATACTCCCTCTCTCTTTTCTTGATTAAGAGGAGGAACCCTGGGAACCCAGAGCTCCTGATATTGCTGGCCCCATCTCCAGCTAGACAGGAGCAGAAGCAAGAATGGAAGCCAAAAAAAAAACCCGGGTGGCAACCCGGGCCCTTTTTTTTTTTTTTTTTTTTTTTAAAATATACCATCCCTGGGAAACATGATAGAATTTGTTTTTACTTTTCTTCTGTCAGGAAGTAACCCTTCTGGCTTTGTTAGAAGCGTGGTTTGTAATAATTGTACCCACCCCAGATGGCTCCTGAAAACCCTTTGAAATACCATCTGTCAGGCGTGTGTCCAGCAGGCCGCCTGTCATTCTGCTACAAGAAAGGAGGAGGTGGAGCCTGCCTGGTCCTTTCCCACCCAGCAGGGCTGAATGGAGCTGGTAAGGCTGGCCCAGGCCCAGCCTGCGGCTCAGAGTACCCTGGAGGAGACCTCCTGCCAGCACACAACTTGCACAGGTTTTGTCTGGGTAATAAGCCCTGCAGGGTTTGTGGAGGCTCACCCCCAGCCTCCTCCCTCCTCTGCCTCTGGGAGGCCATCAGCAGCCTATTTATTTACAGGAGAAAGGGGTGTCCCTTTTAAGATGTAGCATTTTTTTTGAAGTTCTTGGTTATTTCGGACCCTTTCAGGAAACAGAGACCCAGGGGTGACTATTGTCTTTAAAGGACATCTGACCAATTGGGTGTGAAAACTGGTTGAAGACAAATGGCCAAGATAAGATGGCTGCAGAGCAGGCAGGAAAACAGGGGTCTAGTCCAGGAAGACGGACCCAACCCAACGGGGGTTTCATTTTCTCCCCATCTTCTTGGAGTGGGTGGTATAAATGATTGGAATTTTGACACGGAGGCTGTTTGGGAGAGTGGCCATCTCGGAACAGATTTAAGACAGATCCTGCCACAGCATGTCACAGAATTTCTCTGCTAAGGCTGCTCTGGAATTTCCAAGTAGGATGTAGACTGCTGGTGTTTTACAAGGAGCTGACTGAACAGCTTTTGCACTTGGCTGCAGGACCTGACACCCTCCTGCTGCTGCTGCTTTCTCCTTTGGGGATCCTCTTCCTGTTCCTATCTTCAAAGAGTTAGGTCTATCCCTGCTTGCTGGCACACACCAGTGATCCTTGTGGCCCCCGGAGGCTGAGGCAGGAGGATCGAGAGTTCCAAGCCAGCCTCAGCAACTGAGTGAGGTCCCAAGCAACTCAGCGAGATCCTGTCTCTAAATAAAATATAAAATAGGGCTGGGGATGGGGCTCAGGGGTTAAGCACCCCTGGGTTCATCCCTGGAAACAATAAATAAATGAACAAATACATAAACTAACAAACAAATAAATAAAATACATTCTGTAGTAGTAGATACCTGATTGCGTCTCAGCACCTGCATTTTACCTGTCTAGTCCACACCTGATTGTCTTCTCTGGGTCACTGGGACAGCCACCAAACTGGTCTCCCTGCTTCTCTTCTGACTCACCTCCTACCCTGCAGGCTCTATGCAAAGTCAAAGATCTTTTAAAAAATAGGTATTGAATTAAGACACCACCTTGCTCAAAACCCTCTGGTGACTCCTGTCACCCTTAAAGTGAGATATGAATTCTTTGCTGTGGGCCTGATTTATCTGGCTTTCACTTCCAGCCTCTTCCATCTCACTGCTACGAGTGTACCAGTTGTTGTTTTTTTTTTAACTTGTTATTTTGAGATATACATGACAGAAGAATGTTTTTTGGATTTTTGTTTGTTTGTTTGTTTTTACTAAGGATTGAACTCAGTGGAACTTTAACCCCTGAGCCCCGTCCCCAGCCCTATTTTATAATTTATTTAGAGACAGGGTCTCACTGAGTTGCTTAGGACCTCACTAAGTTGCAGAGGCTGGCTTAGAACTCACCATCCTCCTGCCTGAGCCTCAGAGCTGTTGGGATGACAGGCCTTCGCGACCGTGCCCATCAGTCGAGTGTATTCTGATGTGTTGTGCATCCATAGTGAATGACTTATTCTAATCAGGATCCCATTCTTGGGGTTGTCCATGAGTCTCACTGGCAGATGTACCTGTCTTTGTGTCCTTCCCCCAAGGTGACTCAGCTGTTTCCATATCAAAGCCTTTCGCAGACCCTCTGCCTGGGGGGCTTCCCCTCACCTGGCAGGAGACAGGCCTTTCCTGCTCACCTATCTGAACTTGCTTCCTAGACCCTCACTTCCCCATCCCCCCAAGGCACTCCAGCCCACATGCCCACGTGACTCTGAGGTCCCTTCTGACATAGAAAGCAGAAGCATTAGCGCCTCCTGAAATTGTGTGCTGTCTGTATGTCTTCCCATATAGATTTATTTTTCTCTCAAATTCAAATATAAATTTCAGTAAGGTAGGGGCTTTGTCTTGTTGACCATTGTTCACCCAGTGCCTCAATTAGTGCTTACCATTCATGGGGCAGGGGGGGGGGCTCAGCAAATATTTATTAAATGATTGAAACGTGATGATGGCTCTCCACACGTCTACGTACAGACACGTGGACAACATCAGGTTGTGACAGTGGGATTTTTAAGCTTAAGAGTCGATGAACTCCCTTCATTCCAACAGTAACATAAAGTACACTCTCTACTAACAATGATTGAACTCCGCTCTCTCAAAGGATCATTTCACTTAGTACCTGCGGTGCCACTATTGTTAGCCCCGTTTCTCAGCAGAGGATGCTGGGAGGAACAGAAGCTCAGGATCTTGTCCAAAACCGTCACCTGGGGAGCCAGACCGTGAACCTGCCCTTCCCACCCAGACCCCCAGGTCTGTTGAAGTCTAGGATACCCTCTTTCTGTACACAGCACCTGCTGTGCGTCTGACACCTGAGATGGAATTTTAAAAGCCATGAATGACCTCTCATCCACCAGGGTGCCAAGAGTGGAGATAAGTTAGGACAGAGCATCGGAGTAGACTTCTGGACACTTCCCAAGCAAGCCTCATGCCAGAAAGCCCCTGCGTGCTTGGTGTGAGAAGCCACCATGGGAAATCGGACCATTCTCTGAATAAGTCGCAGCTGTTGAAGACACTCCGATTTCAGATGTTTTCAAATTGGGTGCATTAAATGTATTTAGCCTGAGTAAAGTGTGTGATAGATTTTATTTTTTGGTGGAGTGGAGTTCCAGGGATGAACCCAGGGGTACTTACCCACTGAGCCCCATCCCCAGCCCTTGTTGTTATATTTTATTTAGAGACAGGGTCTCACTGAGTTGCTTAGGGCCTCGCTAAGTGGCTGAGGCTGGATTTGAACTCATGATCCTCCTGCCTCAACCTCCTGAGCCACTGGGATTATTATAGGGGTGCACCACTGCGCCTGGCGTGATAATTCTTGAGGTTCTTTACTTCTGGGAATTGTGGATGTCCAAGGTAGATGTGTGGATGTGGTCATTATGTAGGCAGGAGGTCAAAGATGGATGGTCCCAGGAACATTAGAGCCCTGGGATACATATAGTTGGTTATTTAAACACTTTAAAGGGAAAGAGAGAGAATCCTAGGAACAAGGGGAAATCCCTGCTTATTTTCATAGGAAAAACCTACAATCCCCACCATGGATGATGATGTATTGCAAAAGTGAGTTGCGCTGATCTTCTCCCCTAATTTAAGTGGTAGGAGCAGAAGTCACTTTTTTTTTCTTTTTCTTTTTTTTTTTTTTTTTGCTGTTTGACAGTATTTGAGGCCGACTCCTAGTAGACGCTGCATGTATGCTTCTTCGTTTATTTTTTGTTCCCCTTGGGGCATGTGTCAACCCCCTCTGCTCCTTGCCCCCACACTTTGGGTCAAGGCTGGATCCACAGCCCAACCCTTGCGCTAGGTGACTCAAGTACTTTCAAGGTTCTCTATCATTTCCTAAATCTTTACTTTTTTTTTTTTTTTTTTAGCCGTTGAGAGTGTGGCCAGAATAATTCAGGGAGGGAATTGTTCTCCCACATGCAAAAGTCCCCTTTCTCTAGCCAGACTCATGGGTGGCCTCTTTTCACCCAACGTATTAATTACATGAGGAGCAGCAGCGTTTTAATCCCTGGGAGTTGTCCAACCGCAGATCTTGTGCAATCGCATTTCCCTGGCGATGTGTTTATGCAGTGGGTGTCATTTTCTTCAAAGGGCTTATTACACTGGAACTTGCCGGATGTATTGAGGAGCACAGGGGTTTTGAGGCGCGTGATAAAAATATAAACCCCCGAGGCACCGAGCTTAAGAGTGGATGATTTTTAGTATTTGCTGGAGTCCCCAGAGCTGCCGATGGTGGCTGCCGTCTGTGCAACCCACACAGATCACCTCCTCCATTCAGTGCATCCTACAAAATGGTAAAGTGAGGATGCTCTTTTTGAAGCCTTGACCTGGTCGATGTCTGGACAGAGAAGTCGGCCAAGTTCTAGGCACTCGGGCTGCCTGAACAGGTTGGCTCGATTGCGCCTGGATGTGGAACTTCCTGTTCTGGTTGACTGATGTCTTTTCTGTCTGCAGGCACCACCCGATCTCCCCGGGAAGGAGAAGTGCCTGGCGTGGATTACAGCTTCCTGACTGTGAAGGAGTTCTTGGATCTCGAGCAGAGCGGGACTCTTCTGGAAGTTGGCACCTATGAAGGTGAGACGCTCCGTGGTTGCAGGAGAACCTGTCTCTCCTGGGCACCCCCAGGTGCCAGGGGCTTTGTCCCAAGTCATCCAGGCAAAAATTGTTTTCTAGACAGAGGAGTTATAAACAAATAATAAGTGATTTCGGTTCACCCTAATATCAATATAGTGCCATTTATGGAATAAAGCTTTGTAGAGTACTTTACAAATAGTGTGCTTTTCTCCATAGGTTCTCTCTTTTAGTTAGTTGTGTGTGTGTTCTGTGTTTTAATAAGGGCATGGCATGGTATTCTAAAGAACAGGAGGAGGAAACATGGAGATTCACAATGTGTAACCTGATAGATGGTGTTTTAGTCTTGAAGGAATGAAATACCAAGTTTACCATGAATTGGTTTTGATTTTTTTTTTTTTTTTGGTACCAGGGATGGAACCCAGGGTTGCTCAACCACTGAGCCACATCCCAGCTCTGTTCACACTGAGTTGCTAAGGGTCTCACTCAGTTGCTAAGTCTCACTTTTGCTGAGGCTGGCTTTGAACTCATGATCCTCCTGCCTCAGTCTCCCAATCTGCTGGGATTATAGGCGTCTGCCACCATCCCCAGGTGGTTTTAGTGTTTTAAAATAGAAAATAAATTCACATAGTTCAAAAAGCAAAGTATTTTAAAAATATTTAGTAAGGAATCTCCTTCAAAGGCCTATCTTTCAACTGTCTAATCTCCAACTCAGTGTTACCAACAGTGTTACTGATAATAATAGTTTCAGAAGCTTCTTGCTATTAATTGAAACATGTATCTGCATGTGTGTATATACACTTGGGAGGGAGTTCCAAGGATTGAAACCAGGGGCTCTTAATCACAGAGCCCCATCCCCAGCCCTATTTTGCATTTTATTTAGAGACAGGGTCTCATTGAGTTGCTTAGGGCCTCGCTAAGTTGCTGAGGCTGGCTTTGAACCCATGTTCCTCCTGCCTCAGCCTCCCGAGGTGCTGGGATTACAGGTGTGCACCACCATGCCTGGCTCTGTGTGTGTTCTTATTTCTCCCATTTTGCACAGAAGGCAGTTGACAAGTCCTGCTGTTCAGAACCTTGCTCTTTTGGTTTAACGCCGTGTCCTGATGTTTGCAATTCAGCAGTAGGGCACTTCTTGTTATAGTCTTTTTTAAATGGCCAATCTCTTTGTAAGGGCACATCATAGTTTATTTAACTAGCTTCCTCTGGACGACCTTTCGAGGCGTTTCTCATTTCCAGTCTTTGTACTGTTGTACTTCCTAACGTGGACAGCTATCATTCCAACATGCCAAACCCTGTAGGACGAGGTCCTGCGGCGGGAGGAAGTGCTAGGGCGGAGCTAACTGTCAGGGAAAAGTTCCATTTTCCTTCTCTTATTTATTTATTTATTTTGTGTCGGATTATGATTTATTTAACTGGATCCTCATAAATGGATACTTTTATAAGTTGATGAATTTTTTTTTGTAATTTTAATTTACACATAGTAATTGTGGTTGTTTATGGGGCACAGTGTGACATTTTGAAACGTGTCTACAAGGTGTAATGGTCAGATCAGGGCAGCTGGCATTTCCATCACCTCCATTAACCCTCAGTTTATCCTTACTTTGCATTGGGAATATTAAAAACCCTCTTTCCTAGTAGATTGAAATATAGAAGTGATTGCTGTCAGCCACATGCACCCTTCATAGAATTGAACATGGAAGTCATTCCTGTTATCCAACTGCAGCCCTGTGGAAATAAACCACCCCGTCCACAGGCCCCTCCTCGACACCCTTCTCACCATCTAGGTCATGTCGCCTTTCTATCCATCTCCTTGAGATGATCATTTTTAGCATCCACAGGCAGGTGGGAACAGGAAGTATCTGTCTTTCTGGGCCTGACTTATTTTACTTAATGTCCTCTCTGTTCATCTGTATTGCCACCAGTGACAGGATTTTATTCTTTTTTATGGCTGAATAATATTCAGTTGTGCAGATGTGTAGATACACCTCATTTCCTTTATCTGTTCCTCTGTCCCTGGACATACAGGTGGATTCCACATCCTGGCTATTGTAAATAGCCACAAACGTGAGAATGCAGATATATCTTCAACATAGTGATTTGTTTTCCTTTCGATATAGATTCCATGGTGGAATTGCTGAATCATATGGTAGTTCTATCTATAGTTTTTTAAGGAACCTCTATACTGCTTTTTTTTTTATTATTTTTATAATGGGTTAATTTACATTCAATATACAAGAATCCTCCTTTCTCTTCATCTTTGCTAGTATTTTTTTTTAATAGCTGCCATTCTAACAAGAGTGAGGCGATATTGTGGTTTTGATTTGCATTTCTGATGATTACTGATGCTAAGAATTCTTTTTCTCTAGCCAGGAGTGGTGGTGGCACATGCCTGTAATCACACCAGCTCTGGAGGCTGAGGTAGGAGGATCAAGAGTTCAAACCCAGCCTCAGAAATTTAGCAAGGCCCTAAGCAACTCAGTGAGACCCTGTCTCTAAATAAAATATGAAAAAGGGCTGGGGATGTGGCTCAGTGGTTAAGCATCCCTGGGTTCAGTCCCTGATACCTGCCACCCCCCAAAAAAGGAATTATTTTTTTCCTGTTGGTTCTTGGCATATTTTCAAAATGGTATATTTTCTGAAAACAATACCTAGCCTGATTTTTTTGGAGTGTTATTTTTTAATGACAGAAGTATAATACTTTTAACTAGATCATGACTTACTAGATCTAGCTTCTAACTAGAGTTATTAATTCTTTTATAGTTATATGTCTCTCTTTATAGAGAACTCTTAAAATTTAGATTTATTAGATAATCATAAGAGCATTTAAAATTATGCTTAAAAACAAAGGGTAAATAGAAAGCCAATTATCATTTTATTGGGGACATTATAGCTTTGATGTGCTAAAAGCTTCTATTATAGGTGGTAACTGAAAATCCAGTAATGATCATGCATTTTAGGGACTCAGTTTCTGTCTGATATTTTTTGGAGGGGAAAGAAGGATTCCTTTGTAACTGTTGCTCATTTCCAAGTTGTGGATATAATTTGAACGATGTTTAGGTGTAAATGAAAATGCTAATTGTCAACCTGGGAATATTATATTTCGATATTGCTCATTATCCACTTGCTTACTTCCCTAGAAGTGCAGTGACTATGTAGCTGGTAGCCTGGGCGGAGATCTACAAACGATTAAGGCCCATGTGTCCTGTGAGGACATGGGGGTAGCTAAGGGAACATACAGGGAGCTATTTGTCCATGGGAATCTAGTTAAAAATTCGGTGACCACAGGACAGCAGGTGTGAAACCTCTTTGGTTAGCACAGTGAATCATCCTTAGCTGGAATCATTGATTATGCCATTGTGAGAAGCCCAGAGTCCCAGATATGCAAAGTGGTCATTTGCATGTTTGGAGAGGACAACAGGAAGTGTATGGGGTGGGAAAGGGGGAGGGCTTGAGATGTGGACCACAGTTTCATTTGGCAAAAGAATAGGCTCCCTTTATTCACAAGTTCCTGTGACATTGTATATTGGTGGAATAGGTTCTTTTTCTCCTGGAGTGTCACCCTTGCGACAGGGAATTGTCATCACTCAAGTTTTGCATGGAGTCTGAGGCCAGTGGCATTAAATCACTTTTGCAGGGTTGTACAGCAGACCAGCACACCAGATCAGGAAACGCGCTGAGTTCAGTTTGTCTCTCACATCCTACACTTTTTCCTGGAAAATCCCAAGAAGAATAGTCTTGAGTTTAACAAAAGACCCATTAGTACTTCCGCCTGACTTCCTGGTGGGTAGCCATGGGGAAGTAAATATTTTTTTCAGAAAATCTCTGAGGGACTTAAATAAAAGACTGCATTTCTGTGAATGCTGGTTGGTGATTCTGGAGTTGAAATTGAACCCCAGATTAATCCATCCCACTTTTGACCATTTGAAGATACTGGGTTCTCTGACCTTTTTACTGTAGGAGATGGCTCAAAATTTCTTGGAACACACTAATATCTGTTATATTGACTCTATTTTAAAAAATTTTTATTATAGAGACAGGTCTCCCAGAGTTACTCAGGGCCTCTCTAAGTTGCTGAGGCCGGCTTTGAACTTCTGCTCCTCCTGCCTCAGCCTCCCGTGAGACTCTGGGATTACAGGTGTGCACCACCACCCCCAACTGTTATGTTGACTTTTTAAAAAAATGATTTTATTAGTTGTTGACGGACCTTATTTTATTTATTTCTATGTGGTGCTGAGAACAGAACCCAGGGCCTCACACAAGCTAGGCAAGTGCTCTACCACTGAGCCACCACCCCAGCCCTATGTTGACTCTTAATAGTGGAGAGCAAAGTGGAGTTTGTGTGAGACTCCAGTTACCGACCCACCGTACCAGGCATAGTTTTGGAGAAATCTTCTCAGAGCTGCTTCTAAGTCTTGGCCTCCCCTGGACCAGTCCCGGACAGCAGCTACCGTGGCAGGCTCCCCCGTGGTCTCACCACCTGAAATTGGTCAGCACCTTTGCCTTTGAACTGTGTGCCCTCCAGCGAGCCACTTAAAACTCCCTGTCCCCTTTTTCCCTCCAGTGAAATAAGGACAATCATCTGCTCTCCCACAGGTAGGACTAAATGAGACCGTAATTGGAAAGGGCTTATCCGAGTGTCTGACACATGTAAGCTCTCAATCAGCATTAGCCCTGATATTTACACACACTGGCTGCTCTGAAATTCCTACTGCAGCCGATTCCCGCCCCCTGTTCCAGTCGGTCAACCTGCGGATTTGCCAGTAAAACATCTTTATTGACTTCCCAGATACCAGCCATTTTTTCTACTGGCTTGATTTTTTTTTTTTCTTTCAGCCTCTACAAATACCACAGAGGAAAAGTCTTTTGACACCATGACACTCTTTCAAGCAAGACACTTTGACATTTTTAAGTAATAAGAGTTCTTGGTAGCTGTGGTTCTGATAAGTGTTACTGACTTAGTCCCTGATGCTATTGGGAGGTGGTTGAACCCCTGAGAGGTGGGA